TGTATCCTACCTCCGTAACATCACTCTTCCTCGTCCTCCCTGAGGCTCAGCCAGCCAGCCAGCCCGCCCGCCCTCACCTGCTTCATGCACGGGGCGGGCGACCGGGCTTCCCTTCTCTCCGGCCCAGCCGGCGCTTCTCTTCCTTCCCCCTCTTTAATGCTGACCTTCCCAGTCGCTCCCTCCCGCACTCACGTTCTCCCACCAGCAGGATCCTCACGTCCTTCTTCATCGTGCTATTCCTCCGCCTTCGGGGCCCCGCGATCCGGCTCCCGCTCACATCAGGGCTTCGGCAAGGCGGGGGACCCACGGCCTACTACGCTCGATCCGCTCGTGCCGTCCCGCCTCCAACAGCCGGCGCGCGCCCGCTCCCAAGATCGCCCCCAGCGCCTGGTTCGCAACCTTTCCCTCCACCAACCATAGACGGAAGGCTAGAAGGATAGATGGCTTTGAACTTCCGGAGCTATGTTTGCAGCCCTTCAATGGCGGGGAAGGCTCTCTTCCAGGTGCCGCTCTATGTCGGTTGCTCTATAATGAGCGCTCAATAGGCGCCCATCGGCATTTCCTGGCCGTACGGATCGGAGAGGCAGTCTGATGGGGAGCAAACCGGAAGTGTAGCTGCCTCTGGTGCCTGCTAGAGTTTAATTTTTAAAACACGTGTTCAGGAGCACAGAAACGCTTTGTTTTTTAACTGAAATTGTAATTTAACTTAATTTGGAAAATAATAGGAAAGTAGCATGCAACTACTTCGGGCCACAATACACATCTTCATTCAACTGATTGAGAGAAATGGGTTGCTGGAGAGATGGAGATAGATTTATCTTTGCCATCATTAGAGGTATTTGGTGTATGGTATAAGATATGTGTTCAGAGTTCATTTTACGTTCAATTATTTTTGAAATGTGTTGCTGTCCTTCAAAATCAAAGTTTCTAAGAGTTACAACTACTGCAATTACAATATAAACCCCAAGGTAGGGCATCTGGCTCTTTTTCTGCCCTCCACTAGTGTAAAATCTCATTCCAAAAAAGTTTCACCTGCCGCAGATGTAATTGATTGGTGTGATATCATTGTTATGATTATGGCATGGGTACATAAATTCGCACAGGTAACTGTCAATCATTGATTGATAGTCCTAGCCCCTTTGGCGGCGGGGGGGGGGGGGGGGGGGGGGGGAAGCACAAGGCAGCCAAAATAAGCAGACATTATCAGTTGGTGCATGAAACTCACTGGCAGGCAAAAAAGGAACAAGAGCCAAGCATCGTGGATGTTATTTATTTTAGCTTCCAAGATAGGGAACTTTCCTGTAAAATCCATTACAGCTTTCAACTAAGGTCCTTTAGATCATGTTTTTTCATAGAGAGCCTTATCAAAATATGTAAATAGCCCTGTTCTTCCAATTATGTACTTCAAAACAAGTATGTGCTGAAAGACAGAAAACTATTTCCCTGGTACAATATCCCAAAACTAATTCGGACAGAATCTCAATTTCTAAAGAAGCCTCTGGAAAGTTATGTGTTTAAACAGAAGATGATACATAGGGATGCTCTTTCTTCTTTTGGTCTGCCTTTGGTCATAGCAATCCTGATGGCAGATCTGCAGGGCCTTGAAGGAGCTCTTGCTAAAGTCTGGTCATTTTTCCCTTTTATTTTTGTGAATGCGTATTGTTATAGGTTTTAATTCTATATTTATTTATTGAACATGTTGTGAGCTGCCCAGAGTCCCCCATTGGGGGGAGATGGGTGGGGGACAAATTTAATGAAAGAGTGTCCATTATAAATAACATAATCTACAATTACCAGCCTGGACTTACCTATTTACAGTATTATGAAATTTGGTTATATGAAAAAGATTGACTCCAATTTTTAAGAAGGGCTCATGGGGAGATACAGGAAATTATGTGTCTGTAAGCTTAACATCTGTTCCAGGGGAAATAGTACGATGCTATTAAAGATAAAATTAGCAAACATCTGGAGACACAGGCCTTGCTCAAGGTTGCCCAACATAACTTCACTAAGGAAAGGCGCTGTCTAACTAATCTATTAGAGTTTTCTGAGGGTGTTAATAAACATGTGGATACAGCTGCTAAGCCATTAGACATCATCTACTTAGATTTCAAAAAGATATCTGATAATGTCCCTAATCAAAGACTTCTCAGTAAGCTTAACAGCTGTAGAATAAAATGGCAAATCTTTTTGTGAATAAACAACTGGCTAAAAAATAAAAAACAAAGAGTAGCTGTAAATGGACATTTCTTACAACAGAGGGATGTAACTGAGATCCCCAGGGTTTTGTCCTTGGACCCCTACTTTCTGACGTATTTATAAATTATCTGGAATTGGGCATGACTTTATAAGCCAGGTTGCTGATGACACAAAATTGTTCAGAGTGGTAAAAACAACAAAGGACTGCGAAGAGCTCCAAAGGGATCTCTGCACATTAGGGGAGTGGGTGTCAAAATGGCAGATGTCATTTAACATGAGCAAGTATAAAGTGATGCACATTGGTGCCAAAAATCCTAACTGCTCATACAAAGTAATGGGATCAGAGCTAGATGTGACCGATGAGGAAAGGGAGCAATGGTAAACAGTTCAATGAAGGTGTTGTTGCACTGCACATCCACTGTAAAAAAGCCAACAGTATGTTAGGGATAATAAGAAATGGTATTAAAAATAGAGATGCCAATATCGTAATGCCCTTATATAAAGCAATGATGTGACTGCATCTGAAAAATGGTGTGCCATTCTGGTTGCCGCACTTCAAAAAGTTCTTGGGCTAAGGAATGCACTCCCTCTGTAGGTGCATTGGACTCCCATTTGCCAAGTATAAAAGGTTATAGTGGAGCTATGAGGAAAGGTTGAGACATTTGGCTTTTTAGTCTAGAAAGGAGGTGAATGACTGAGGTGTACACAATTATGTATAATGTGGATAAAGTGGACAAGGAGAAGCTATTTTCCTCTTCCCAAAATACTAGGTTACCCAATGAAACTGAATCCTGGAAGAATGAGGCAGACAAAAGGAAATATTTTTTTACACAACTTGTAATTCAACTTTGGAATTCGCTACAAGATGTGGTGCTGGCTACCAGCTTGCCTGGCTTCAAAAAAAGTGTTGGACCAATTCATGGAAGTCAGGGGAATCAATAGCTATTAGCCTGGATGGCAGTGGGACTGCCTCTGAAGGCCATCTGCTGAGAGACTAGTGGGCTTCCTTGTGCAGTTGGATGGCCACTGTGAGAACAGACTGCTGAACTAGATGGGCCAGTGAATCCAATCCAGCAGGGCAGTGCTCCTGTTCTTATGGAGTATATCTTCACAGTTGCATCTGCCTAACTACTAAGTTATGTACTAACCAAGAATTAAGAGAGAAGAGATGCAATTACTCTGATCTAAAAAAGACCATCCTTTGATCAGCTATGGACTGCAGTCCAGTGATTGTGCATGCTTTTCTCTGTTGTGTTGGCTTTTCAACACAATATTGAAGTTCTGTTGCTTTATCTCTCAAAACATTTTTCAGCAATCCCCTTGCTTAAGCAGGCACAGGTTGAGAAAACTAACAGTGATTTTCAAAGTTTTTGCAGACCGACTACTAAGGCTGCCCTGGCTCATAAGGTTTGGGACCTCATAGCTACTAAGATGGGCTTGTCTCAGTACACAGATAGTATGGCACACTCTGGACTTGGTGTTCTGTTTAAGGCAATAAGATGTTGCTGCCTAGCAAGAAGATCAGCGATAACTGTTTTTATGGGCAGATTATTGTCTATCTAAGATGGAATTTAAGGCAGGGAGCAATATACTGCCTATGGGGACTTCTCTTGGGGCCTGCCAGGAACCCGATCCCAGTTGACTTTAATAAAATGTTTTAGTTTAAAAAATAAAATAAGACACAGATACATGCAAAGAAAGGCATCAGCTTCTAGCAGAACAGAGCATTAAAACCAGGTTACTTAAGGAGCCTTTCACTGATTTTTAGGTGTCTTGCCCTCAGTTAGAATAACTGGGTAAAGAGATTAAAAAAAGCAAGGCTTTTTCAACAATAGTCCTTCACTTATGGAACTCCCTAATGTTTTTTATTTTGCCTTTTACTCATTAAGCAACTGTTTTAAGTAAGGAGCATCCCTGTGTGAATTCATATTTTGTTGCACCATTAAATCATTTTAAACCATTAAAGATTTCAAACCATTAAATCAACCAATATTAAATGCAGAAATACTAGAGATCTTGCAAGATTTGGCTTTTGGGGACCTTTTAAATTCCTTATACTGTTTTGTATTTTAGAACTGAGTTCCATTAAGGGGCACAGTGAACACCATCCTGCCAATCCCCACCTTACATCTTCAGTGCAGAGCTTTAAAAATGGATTGTTTAAACTCACCTTTTCTGAATAGATAACTAATAGCTGTCACATTCATCAGTTTGACACTTGGTTGAATTTCCAAATCATAAATAATGGGATGGTATTGGGCTGATGATGAGCAGTGCCTGATTTCCTCCAGACATAACATTTAGAACTGACCAAAGAAGCCCAGTTTCTTGAATAAACCATCTATGGCTGGTTTCAGAAAACACAGTAAAATGTTAAACTATGATTTACAGTGCATTCGGAAAGTATTCAGACCCCCCTTCACTTTTTTCAATTTTGTTATGTTGCAGCCTGATACTGCAATCGTTC